CTGTGTGGGATGATCCAGGCTGTGCAGTGTATGTTGTGCGATCTAAGTCGGGCATTCAATATGCTGTGATCCATGTGATAGCAAGATATTTGTTGCAATCTATTTTGGAACAGTGTGTATGTGGCAATCTCGGTGGTGCAATATCTAACGGTGGCCTTCGGCCCATCCCGTCACCGTGCCTGGGTTGTGGGCATGAAGCTTATTTGATGTTCGTTGGGATCTCGTGGTAGGCCTCCCGGGGGCCTTTCGGAGACCGTGTGGAGGCCTCTTGGGCACCGCTTTGGGGCCTGCTGCGGCCTCCTTTGGGCCTCTTGGGGCCGTGGAAGTTAGAGGGGAAGAAGATGGGGACGAGGAGATGCAGCCAGGGGGTCCATAAGTCACAGGAGGTGAGGAGCCCGAAGGCGAGAACATGGAAGAGCGTAAACCCGAGCAGGATAATGAATGAGATGACAACGTCATCACAGATGTGGTACGCAATGAACATGACGGGCTTTGATGCGGATGTGGTGGAGTGGCTATTCAGTGTCGACTTGGACGTCGCTCGTCAGGTGAGTGGCATCCGGAGAACAGTAAGACCATGCGGCGCGGGCCAGCATGACGTGCAGGCGCGCGCGCGCGCTACTGGGGCTTATCCGCCAGTCCGAGTTACTGGTACTGTAGAAAGTGGAACTCGTACTGGGGTTAGCCATGGACCTATCTACTTGCGATGTCCATGGCAACCCATGGGACTTTCATGGTGAGGCGATGCGAGCAAAAACACAGAAAAGCAGCAACAACAAACCAGCCTTCAGCAGGCTACAGGCAATCAGTTCGAAAAGACTTGGTCCGGAAAGCGAGGGGGATGTTTCATTGCGGGGTTAAACACTTCAAGTCTGCGATGACATTGTGCGAGATTCAGAGAAATAGTGGGCTATATTCTCTTCGGAGCCTCGAGTTGGACCGCATCGCCAATGTGGACAATGTTTAAACGCGACGACGTGCATGCATATGATTGCGGTTTGTGCTGTTATGAGTTGATAGAGGGGTTCATAAAAGGAACCCACGCGATTCAGGATGAACAGTTCCTACGTCGGAAGAGTCCTCAGCGTAGAATGTCAAAACCAGCGCCACCATATTGAGTTAATTGGAGGAGGCAGAACAAGAAGATCTGAGGTATCCCTTTGAATTTCTCCTTCGAAAGAGTCAAAGCCGACGCCGTTACCCAAAACAATTAAACCGCCCCCCTGCACAGATAGGCAGATCCGCCTTGTCTCACGTTGAAAGACACTTGGCGATATTGCCCCATTGCCAAAACCAAAATTACGCGCAAAATCCGCGCAATGATCTCCCCAGCTGATGGCTGCATCCCGAGTTTCGCACATCGGCTGTTTAGCAATTTTCCACACAAGGCTGCTTCACGATATTCCTCGGTCAACCGGATGAGAGTGTTCTTCTTGGTCTTGGCGTCAGTATTGGCCCGACGTCTATACACGCCAACGTTAGCCCTGTCTCAGGCCCCCCACGATTAGGCCCTATTCCTTCGGCAACCGCATACATCATCATAATTGGCTGGCTCCCAGCGGGGGCGCGGCTGCAACTATATATAATCAGTGGAGCTACATGCCGGGATCGGCACTTAGGATTGGTCTCGCCCCCCTTGTTGAAGTCGATCCGCCTCGTGCCACTGGGGGCCTTGCCTGTAACTGACTCGCACTCATCCTCCTTTACCATGTTGTACACCTCATGTTTCCTACATTGCTCCACATCTTCCCCCCTAGCTTTCCATGTGAATTCTGGATTCAGCTCACTTCCAGACACCGCATTCCACGCGTGGATTTTTTCCACGTGCGCATTGAACTACGCAGATGCCACCTCCAGCAACTGGTCGCACCTCATCAACACTCCCACATGCGTCGCACGCCATTGGGGTTTTAACCACCCGCTGTGTTGACACGCCCCACAGATCCCTTGGTGAGGCTGGGTGTCCTGGGCAACTCGCTCGGTGGACTTAGTGGCGATGTCGCGAGCTCCCCCTCAAAATTCTCTCCTTCGTTCCTTTCATGTGATCTCACTACCCCCCTGTCCTCGAGTACCTGGCCAGTGTCCACATCCTGAGTAACTCTGCGTAGGTAGGCATTCCATGTTGGCCCTGAATTCCCTGGAAGCACGAGACGCGATGCGCCACAATATTTTCTGGTTCAGGTCAACGCAGGCACATTTCCATACTCGATTGGTTCGCGCCCGGTATCGCTGATTTCTGCGACCCCGTCTGGCCCATTCCAAATGATCTCAGGATCACAAGTTCTGAAGGAAAGCCTCACCGGCCATCGACCGTCACCGAGTCAACTAAACCAGGCCCTCAACTATCGCTCGACAAAATCGGTCTGAATATTGTGAAGTTGAACGCCGAGGCAGACTAGGGCCAGGACCGAAAGATTCGAAGTCGATCAAGTTTCCCAACCGAGCTGTGGAGTGGAACCTGGATGGGTCATGGTATGAGGCGGATCAATGGAATGGTGAGATTTTGGTTAGAGGCTTAGGCATGGAACCAGACAGCGTGAGATGTGAGATGCCAGGTGGAAAGCAGCCTTGCGAAGAAGAGGAAGATAAACAAAAATACCCCACCAGACCATGAAGTTAAGCCGTGCCAGGCTTTGGTGGCTCGAACCAGCTATCTCTTACGGGACCGTTTGGACATGCGGTCTTCAGTTGAGGAGCTCGTGCGCTCTATGTCGGCCCTGGCCCGTGGGGCATGGATGAGCCTCGTGACGCGGGGCACGTTTTTCTGAAACCAGGACCCGCGTGGGTGCCAGTGCTGGTAAGTGCTAGGAACGGTGTGGACTGACACTGATTATGCCAGATGCAAGTGGACGCGTAATTCAACGAGTGGGGGAATAGTGATGCCGTGAATGCATGTGACAAGGCCGCGGGGTTCGATTCAGAGCGTAGTGGCATCATCATCTGGAGGAGCAGAGTATTAGGGATTGGTGAAGAGTGGATCAGTAGCGTTAGAAGCAGAAACAGTCCTCAAATATTTCGGCGTTGACTGCGCCATCGCGTTACAGAGTGATGCGATTGCGGCCATTGCTATTGCAGGCCGGCGAGGATTTGGAAAAGTCAGACACATCGAGGTTTGCCAACGTTGGTGGCAGGACAAAGTACGACGAGGTGAAATCAACGTGACCGAGGCAGGACCTCATGAGAATGCTGCATACGCTTCAACCACATGTGTTAGCAGGGAGGACATGTTCAGGCACATGCGATGTATCAGCCGACGTATTGTTAACGGGAGGCACGAGCTGGCACCCGCTATGGAGTGGTGGGTTAATTCATCTCTGTGTTATCAGGGAGTGCCGCCTTGGCGGAGACTTGAGGTCAGGATCATTTGAGGTTCAAATGCCCGTCTGCACACAATCTAGAATACGATAGTCATCTTGCGTGGCCTAGTGCATTGCGACACCTCGATGTAGTGTATCGCGTGATAGGAAGCCCCGTCGCGCTTGCGTCTAAGCCAAAATCGCCAAGTGTTTGCGCCAGTTGCGTTCTTAAAAACTCAGCTGTCACATTTAGACCGGCCATGATGGAGTCGTGGCCTTCGCGCACTCGTCTTCGAATGTTCCGTTTTCGCTTTGTTGTATATGTGTTCTTCACCCGTGGTGTTCTTCGGCTACCGTGGCCGATGCTATAGCACGGCATGGAGACTGGGTGTGGAACGCGGTCGCACGTTTCAACGTCAGGTGTTAGCATTACCGCGTGTAGCGGAGCAAGTTTTGCTGCAGTGGTGCGTGTTAGTTGTGGGCCGCTGGCTCAAGTGCCATCTTGCCTTTTCAAAAAAAGGCGATTGCTAGATGTTCAGGAGGAGGACGAGGATAAGGAGGGTGGTTGTGGAGGTGGGGTGGGGGTGGAGGAGGAGGAAGAGGATGAAAAGGATGAAGATGACGAGTAGGATTTGGCGGGATGAGGATGATTGAAACCGTGGAAAAAAGGGGGGCATTTTGCTGTCAGTGTGCTGACGTAACTTCCGGTTGAAGGCAAGAAGATGGGAGGGGACCGGCGTATCCCATGCGATTTCCCGCCCTGTTCCTCGGGGGGCCTTGCTGGGGCATGCGAGCACATCGGTGCGGGCCCGCTTCGGGTCGGGTTTGACCATCAATGCCACTGGTGAAGCGTTCGCGCGCGCTGGCGCCATGATGCTTGTCAGTCGCGTGCTTCGCATAGTTGGCGAGCCAGTCGCACACGGGACGGAACCTTCAGTTTTTCTAGTTTAAAACCGTTCTTCTACCTTGGGGCTGTTAAGCAACGGCTCAGGATAAAAACTCGGACCTGGGCCCAGGATCAGGACCCGTTTGCCTTCAGCTCCTTTGTCTTTCATGCCACGTTTCCGAGGAGCCCTTGACCCCCACCAAATCAGACCGTTTCCCCGTCCTCTTGCGGATAGAGCAGTTCTCTTGTTTCCCCTTGCGGATGGAGCAGGTCTCCTGCTTCCCCCTGATCCTTTAGAACCGGATGATTCCCCACCTCCATGTCCTTTTGCTCGTTCTGCTTCCTCGGCCAGCGCCTGACTCCCAGAGGAACAACTTCCTGTGTGTTTGTTACTTGCACGTCAAAGTACACTGGTCGTGCAAAGTCGCCCTTCGAAATGAAATTGACTGGGCTATAGAGGTGGCTACAACGATACTGTCGAGAGTGCTTGGATTCACGGGACCGCAGCAACTTGAGTAGGGCTACTGCCATGGACAAATGTACTGTGGTTCTCGTTCCGCTCCACGGAACGACGGGGACCGCATATCTTTCAGGCGAGTCCCGCTGGGAGGAGCAGGGGAATACGAGGAGGAGGAGCAGGAGGAGGGGGAGGAGGAGGACGTGAAGGAGGAGGAGGAGGAGGCGGAGGATGACGAGGAGGAGGCGTAAGATGGACCATGAGGATTGGACAGCGGAAAATGGGCAGCTGCGATAATGTCGACTCTGATGATGAGGAGGATGCGGATGAGGAGGAGCGCTGAACCACTCCACCATGTCAGGGTAAGTTGTGCCAGATCCACGTGATCGTCGCGGAGGACCACATCACGAAGGCTAGCGAAGTGCTAGCGTGCTTCGAGCGCGATGTGGCCAATCTCACGTCAGGCGAGCTTGCCTCAGCGGCCAGGGGGTTCAGAGATCGCAGGCATGGGCAGTCGTGGATAGGTCTTGAGATGTCATCGGTCTGTCTTGGGTCGTTTGGGAATCTTCTTGGAAAGCCAGATTATCGCTAAACGCAGTCCAAGAGAAGTATGGGTGGCGTCCAGCTTTAGCCGAACGAATGCTTGAAACCCCTCCAAACATGCACGCCGCAAACACATTGTTGCTGCAAGTCCTGCGCGTGCTTGTCTCCATGTCTGGAATTCGGCTTAGTGTCAGTGCCGTTCTTGACTCTTTGCCTATCTTCACCAGCCCATCCAGAAACGATTCCCAGGCGAGCTTCCCTGATCAGGAAGGTGTAGCAACATGCAGGGAGGAATCACGAGCTAAGGCAGCTGGCAAACCAAAGCTTGGGATCAGCGAGCCATGCATATCGTCGCGGCTCTTTTTAAAATGATGACGAGGAACGAGGAGTAAGAGGAGAGGGGATCAGGAGGGATCACGACGAAGAGGTGGAGAAGGGGGGGGGGCGAGCAGCAGAAGGACACATATATATATATATATATATATATATTGACGTAGCTCGTCCTCACATTCTTTTTGGTGAGCTCTAGGTGGAAGGATGGGGCGGACGAGAAAAAGGGAAGGGAGGGATGAGAGGGGAGGAAGTGGGAGGAGGAGGAGGGGGAGGAGGAGGAACAGAGTAAACACTCAGGATGCATCAGCCCTGCTGCAATACATCCTCCCGTCCCAAGTCCCCTCCTCATAGTTCCCTACAAGCCTAACTTTCAACTACAAGAAGCGCCCCCTTACAACACCAGCACAGTATGGGCCTGCCACTCTGGCGCCAGCCCCGCTTCGAAAAGGAGCTACCTGACATCCTTTTAGAGCTTATCGTGCAGTTCAGCGAGGTGTCTTGCGAGATCCCGTTTTGAGCAAGTTTTCTTCCACCCATCCGTGCACCTGCTGTACGCGTCTCACCTCTGGCCGTACACATCGAGGAGGCCTCGAGCGAGAGCACCGTTTTGAAAACGTAGCCGCTCTTCGTTCGTTCAGCTGCTGCATCTGTTGGTTCATAAGCTCAGGGAGGTCCGAGCTGTTGCATACTCTTAAGATGAAGTTGCGTGTCGCTAAGGCGGGGGGCCCACTTTTGAAATTCATCCGCCCTCCATTTTCATGGTTGCTGTAAGCTTTCAGGGCGCATATGCGCGGCGCTACGGCGAGAGCCCCCACTGTGAAAGTCACCCATGCTGATGATGCTGCTGATGAGGATGATGATGACGATGATGATGATGATGATGATGATGATGATGATGATGATGATGATGATGAGGATGAGGATGATGAGGATGATGCTGATGCTGCTGATGATGATGAGGATGATACTGATGCTGATGCTGATGCTGATGCTGATGATGATGATGATGATGATGATGATGGTGATGATGAGGATGACTATGAGGAGGAGCAGGAGGAGGAGGAGGCGGAGGATGAAGAGGAATGAGGCAAAGCCGACGATGACGACGACAGAGTTCGCGGATGTTTCTGCCTGAGAGTCTCTTGAAGGCATTTTCGAGCCATCTTACGGCTTTCTTAGGGCCATCTTGTGAGCGCTCCTAGCCCTCCTGTTGAGCCCCCTTGTGGGTCTCTCGGAGTCCTATTTGGATACTTGGTTCCTCTTGGAGAATTTCGATCACAAAGGGGTCCTTACTTCTTGCCACGTCAGAGCCCAAGAAGTCGCCTCTGGGGGGGCTTCTTTGGGACGCTCTTGGGGTGAGGCACTTCTGGGGACTCGTGGACCATCTCGGACCTCTTCTGGGCCCTTGATTGGGGCTCGCTTGGGCGATCTTGGGGCCATCTCGAAGCCTGAGAAGCCCATTGGACCCGAAAAGGCGAAAAGGCAATGAAGAGGAGGAGGATGAGGAGGAGGAGGAGGAGGAGGAGGAGGAATACGAGAGGAGGAGGAGGCGGAGGAGGCGGAGGAGGCGGAGGAGGAGGAGGAGGAGGAGGAGGAGGAGGAGGAGGAGGAGGATGAGGAGGAGGAGGAGGGAGGAATACGATGATGATGCGATGAGGAAGGATGAGGAGGAGGAGGAGCAGAAGGAGGAGGAGGAGGAGGAGCAGGAGGAGGAGGAGGAGCAGGAGGAGGAGGAGGAAGTGGAGGAGGTGGGAGGAATAATAGGAGGACCAAAAATCATTCAAGTACTAAGACTACTAATTACTCCGACGGTAGGACCCCAAAGAGAATCGATTTAGCTTGTCCCTCGCCTTTTCTTCTTCGTCTGGCGGAGGCTTCCTTCCGCCCTCTCCGTCCTCCTCCGTCCTCCTCCTTCTCCGCCTTCTCCGCCTCCTGTTCCTCCTCGCTCTACTCGTTGCATTTCTCATCCTCTTCCTCTTCCGCCTCCTCCTCCTCCTCTGCCTCCTCCACTTCCTCCCTCTCCTCCTCATGTTACTTCTCCTCCTCCTCCTCTTCTTTGGAGGAGGATGGGGAGGATGTGGAGGAGGAGGAGGAGGAGGAGCAAGAGGAGGAGGAGGAGGAGGAGGAGGAGGAGGAGGAGGAGGACGAGAGGAGGAGAGGAGGAGGAGGAGGAGGAGGAGGAATACGAGGATGAGGAGGAGGAGGAGGAGGGGGAGGACGACGAGAGGACGAGGAGGAGGAGGAGGAGGAGGATCGGAGGAGGAGGAGGAGGAGGAGGAGAAGGAGGAGGAGGAGGGGGAGGAGGAGGAGGAGGAGGAGGACGAAGACGAGCAAGAGTCGGAGGAGGAGGATGAGGAGGTGGAGGAGGAGGAGGAGGTAGAGGAGGGAAGAGGGGGAGGAGGAGGAGGAGGAGGATCCCCCTGTCCCCCCAGTCACCACGGCGTCCCTGCACGTGATGCCGGCCCTGCCGTGGGACACTTCGCGCATGCGCACCAGCGCGGAGGCTCCCCGCCCGCCCGCCGCCCTCTGGCCCTGGCTCGGCGCCGCGTCGGCACGGTGGCGCCCCCCCCAGTGCGGGCGTGCGGGGCCGAGCGTCCCGCAGGGTCAGGGGCGGCCGGGCGGGGGGGGACGAAGGTGGGGGGAGGTCGTGGCTGGGGCCATGGGGGGGGTGATGAAGAAGGGGTGGCGGTCAAGGGGAGGGTGACGACGAAGGGGGGCGTATAGGTATATACTGTATAAATGTGGTTGTACACATGTGCAGACACATCTATATCCATACAATGCCTGTGTGCTTATGCACGCGTATCTCAAGGCGTGTATCCATGATTATGTACATGTATGTATGTATGTATGTATGTATGTATGTATGTATGTACATGTACGCACACACATATAGATACGTATCGATATATGTATGCAACTGAATATGACTGTATGTGTATGTATATGTATATGAATATGGAAGTGTATATGTATGTGTGAATGATTATGCCTGTGCATATGTATATATATATATATGTATATGTATATGCAGACGTATACTGGAAGGGAGAAGTGTACGAATACGTTCATGCATGGTTATGCGCATATGTACATTCATATGAATCTTTATGTGTAGGTATAGACATATATACCTATTTGTTTATGCATTTCTGTGTGTATATGTCGTTGTGTATGTATACATAATCATGGTGCATATGTACATGTATGTGTCGATGTCTACACACGTATGTGTACATGTAAATGTGTATGCGTGTATGTCTGTCTACGTCCGTGTACGCATACGTGCATGTATATGTACATCTATACGTACTCGCATACGTATATGTACATTTCATGTGTATTTATATGTATGTCTAGGTCTATGTATATGCGTGTGTAGCCATGCACACATATACTTGTGTGTGTATACGTATATATATACATATATATATATATATATATATGCAAGACTGCATTGGCGCTTTGCGCCATGTACCTTGGCCCTTCCGGGTTGGCGCGCAAGTGAAGGATGACATTTCATCTTCCGATCGAAGATTCAGACAACACCGCTTGTGGGATCACCACTTCAAACATCATGCATACGTGAGTTTGTGCATGATCAATATGCAAGACCATCCGTGAGATAGGACATCTGGACACAGCCCCGTATGAAGAGTTTAACCTATCTCATGTGTATGGGGTCCAATTAATTGGTCCGAATCCGGCGACCCCTTGGGGTCCCTGGAGCAGTCGTGAGCACAGAAAGGGGGAAGCACGAACGGATTGGGAGGCGAGTCCCTGTCATTGGGCGCATCCGGGTTGTCTTAGAGGCCCTTCTGGACCGTCGAGGGGCCTTGTTGGACTGCTTTAGGATCCTCGTGGGCTGTCTTGGGGGGCTCTGGCCGTGGTCGGCTCTGCTGGGGTCTTGTAGGTATGAGTGTCTGTATGTCTGTATGTTTGTATGTTTGTATGTCAGTATATCGTTATGTCATTATGTCTGTATGTCTATACCTATGTACGTATGTCTGTCTGTCTGTACGTCTATATGTCTGTATGTCTGTACGTATGTACGTATGTACGTATGTAATACGTGCTTATGGGCATATGTGCATATGCACGTATGTATGCAAGCATGCATGTCTGTATCCATGCATGTCTGTCTGTCTGCCAGTCTGACTGTCTGTCTGTATGAGTGCATGTATGCATGCATGCATGTGTGTATCTATGTACGTATGTATGTATGTATGTATGTATGTATGCCTGTATGTCTGTATGCCTGTATGTTTGTATGTATTTGTACGCGTGTGCGTATGTACGCATGCATGTAGGTATGTCTGTATGTCTGTATGCGTGTATGTGTGGACGTATGCACGTATGCACGTATGCACGCAAGCACATATGGACGTATGACTGTGGGTGTGCATGCATGTATACATGCGTGCATGTATACATACATGCATGCATGTATACCAATATGTCGGTCTGTCTGCACGATTGAATGTATGTATGCATGCATACATGCATGCTTGTATGAATGTCTGCACGGATGTATGCATGCATGCATACATGTATGTATGTAATACTGCATGTATGCATCGAACTATGTATGTACGTACGTACGTCTGTATCTATGTATGCATGCATGTCTGTATGCATATATATATATATATATGTAGGTATGCATGCATGCATGCATGCATGCATGCATGCTGCTTGTATGTATGTATGCATGTATGTATTGTGACGTGATGTGATGTAATGTAACATACTGTAATACAATGTAACTTATGCCTGTACTGACATATATCTGCCTGCCTGTCTGTCTGTCTGTCTGTCTGTCTGTATCTATGTATGTATGTGTGAATGTGCGTACGTACGTATGTCTGTATGAATGAATGTATGTATGTGTATGTAGGCAGGTATGTATGCAGGTCTGTATGAGTATGGACGGCTCCAGAGGGCACTAGACGGCGCAGAGGGACCCACAAACGGCCAAAGACAGTCCAAGATGGCCTCAAGATGGCCGCAGTCGGCCCACGGGCCCCCAAGACGGCCCACGGGTGCTCTGAGAAGACTACCAAGAAGCTCACGAGATGCAAGCATCATTCATGTAGTGTTATTCTTCTACGATTTAGCACACTTGCCTTTGCCAAAAGGGGCCCAAGACGTCCCAAGAGGGCCCCGGGAGGGGCTCCAGGCAGCCCGAGGGAGCCTTGAGACAGCCCAACCAGGCCCTCGAAGTGCCCCAAGGCAGCTCCAAGAGGCCCACAAGGTGGCCCTTAGGGCCCCAAGACAGCCCCAACGGGCTCCAAGACGGTCCAACGGGCCACGAAAAATTGCCCAGAGACCGCCACGATTAGTACGGTCACGTTTCAGGTTGCATATCTATTTGTGTATATATATATATATAGATACATGGATGGATGGATGGATGGATGGATGGATGGATTGATGGATGGATGGATGGATGGATGGATGGATATATATATATATATATATATATATATATATATATATATATCATACGCACCTCTCCGAGGGAGTAGAGCTCATATGCGATTACTGCGTACGCGGGGCGCCGCGTCCGCGACTTGTCTGACCGTTTCGCTAGGGACATCCTCGACATTCTGGAAATCGGTGGCACCCCTCGCGCAGATCGTGACGCCAGGGTCCAAAAACACATGGGAATTTCAACATTTTAACATGCAGCCTTCAAAAGCACATGGTAATTTCAATAATTTTGACCCCGATTCTCAGAGAATGGCGGTTTCGCCTGAAACATCCTCCCAAAATGGAGCCCCGACGTACCCTCTGGTACCCCGGACCCCGCCTCGGAGCCTCCTGAGGGCCTCCTGGAACCTCCTGAGGCCTCCTGGGGCTTTCTGAACCTTCTGGTACCCCAGACCCCGCCTCGGAGCCTCCTGGGGGTCCCCTGAAACCTCCTGGGGCCTCCTGCGGCCTCCTGGAGCCTCTTGCGGCCTCCTGAAGCCTCCTGGGGTCTCCTGGGGCCTCCTGAGGCCGCCTGGGGCCTCCTGGGGCCTCCTGGGGCCTCAGAACTACATGCACACACAGAGACACAACTCACGCCCAACACATCACACGCTAGACAAACATTTCACAGACACAACACCTACAACGCACAAAAAGTACGCACAACACAGAGCACACATCACACACGCACACACACCCACACAACACTCACAATCCTGGGGCCTCCTGGAGCCTCTTCTGGTATCCAAGTCGGGCCTCCTGAGGCTTCCTGGGGGGCCCTGGTACACACATCGCAAGGTGTGGCAACCCCACTTGCGCTCGAGTGCGACTTCCCTGTTGCACTTCACTCCTGCCTCAAACGCCCCTTCAGTTTTTTGTATGAGCCTGAGCACACACGTGCCACTTGTGTGTATATATATATATATATGTATAAATAAATGTGTACATATAAACACAAGACTGCATTGACGCTTCGCGCCATGCACCTTGGTCATTGAAGTTTGGTATGCAGGCGGAATGGTAGGAATGTCAAGCTGATAATTTAGCAATAACTCCTTGTTGCCTTGTTCGACATCGCCGTTCTGATAATGCTACTCGTTTTCCTTCCATGTTTCTTTTTCCTCATTCTCGCCCTACCCTGCGTATTCTCCTCACCCTCCTCAGCTCTTTTTGCGGAGGCTCCTCCTTGGAGGGCCTTTGGGGGCTTCACGGAAGTTTTTCAGGTTTTCTTAAGGCCTTCTGGAGGCCTTTTAGGCGTCTTATGGGGGCCTCTGAGGATTTCTTAGCGCCGCACTGCCTCCAACCGCGGTCTCCCTGAACGAGCGGGTCACGATTTTGACTGCTTTGGAAGGTGTCTTGGGGTCATTTTGGGCCGTCATGGGGCTCACCATCTTGGAACCCTGTTATGCCGTCTTGTGGCCCTTCTTGGACTGGCTGGATCCCTTTCGGATGGTTGCGGGGCGATTTTCGAGCCTCCCAGGCGGCTTCGGACGCGCAGAAGACAGCCGTTTTGGAGCGTCGGGAAGCCGAAAAGAGGAGAACCCCCAAATTCACCAAACAGCATCAGAAAATAACTTAATTTTGCCTTTGGGGTGTGCTCTTGGAGGCCTCTTGGGACGTTTTGGAGCGATCTTTGGGGGTATGACAGCTTCTTTGGGGTCGTCGTGGACCGTCTTGGGGCTCTCCGGGGTCGTTTCAGGAGCGCGCGGGAACGCCTGGAGCCTTTCGGGGCCGTCTTCGGGCTCTCGTGAGGTTCTCCCGGGTCGTCTGGAGGGGGGTTGCCCGAGAGGTCAGGGGTGGGCCAAATTCGTTAGGGGGGGGCGCTTCTTCTGGGGTCCCTGGGGGGGACGCTTTTTCTGGGGTCCTTGGCCTTATAAAAATGTATGAATAGGAATCTATCTATGGGCGTGTGTATGCGTATACAGGTTTGTATGTATATATACACCTATATGTATGTGTGTTTATATGCGCATTCTGTTTACATGCTTATGTCTGTCTGTCTGTCTGTCTGTCTGTCTGTCTGTCTGTCTGTCTGTATGTATGTATGTATGTATGTATGTATATATATATATACATGTATATACAAATATGCTACCGATTAAACGGCAGTTGAGGTCATACACCACATGCCAAGGGTGCGGAGGCTAATCGCTTTCAGCAGGTATCTTGTCCTCACCCTTTCGCCTTCCCCATGCCCCTCGTGCTTGCCCCTTCCCTCTCTCTGCTTCCTCCGTCTCTTCTTCATTCTGCTTTGCACCAGACGCTGGCGAGGACTGATCTGTGAGGGGCCCTTCGGGTGTACGTTGTGAAGCCTTTCGTTGGCGTGTGTACATGTCTGGTTAGTGGCTTCGGTGCCTGCCCAGGGGTGTGCGCGCGTCGTTGGGTTTAGCACGGCCCCTCGGGCACGGCCCAAACGTTCCAGAACGCCTTCATCGCCTCTGCCCCCCTCACCCTCTCGTCTCTTGCCATACCCGCCTTTTTTGTTCAAGTCTAGACGCATCCCCAGGCAGGAACTATGGATCGTGAGACAGTGCGTGGATACACAAGTTCACAAGCTGTATCATATGTTTCCTGGTGGACGATGTGCCGTGAGAAGCATCCCCTCACCTCCTCATCCCCTCCTCGAGCCCCCCCTTCCCTTTTCTCCCCGCTCCCTGGCCCCCCCTTGAGGGCCTCGCGCGCAGCTGGGGCCACCAAGACAAGCTCAGCCAGCCCACCGTCTTCGCCCGCTTCTACCTGCACGAGATTTTCCACGACCTGCCGAAGACTGCACTTTTGCAAGAGACGCAAGCATACGCAGGGAACTCTCGGAGCTCCGCGCGGATATTTCTCGGTTCCGGCGCGCCGGGTGCTCCGCGGGAAGCGCCGCCAGGGCATTCTGGCCCCCATGCGAGAGCTCCTCGCGGAACTCTGGGAGTTGATGTACGATAGGTTTGCGTCGTGTCGACCAGCGGCGACCCCAGCGCGGACGTTCAAGGTTGAACGCCGCCGGCGACCCAGAATCGATCGATGTTGAACGATCGGACGTTGCGGCAGCGGCCGATCGTTCAAGGTTGAACGATCCCTGCGGTGTCAAAAACCAACGCTGGGGTCGGCACGACACGAACCTGCCGTATGCCAGTCGTTCTTTTTCGATTTCTGTCAGCGTGGACACGCCGGGGAAAACCAGGGAAAGCGGGATGGATGTGGAGGAGGAAGGCAAGGAAAGCAGCTTTTTCACCGCACGAGAGGAGGTGGGTTGATGGAGACGGCAGGGACGGAGGAACAAAAAGGTGCGATCAACGCGCGTGTGCTGGTATTTGCTGCGGGGGCGTTCTGAAAGTATGGAGCGGGGGGACGGATGCGAAGGGGGGAACAGGATTAGCTGTATGAGCAGGCGAAGCGGGGGTGGCGGAAGATGAAGGTGAAGATGAAGATGATGATGATGATGATGATGATGATGATGATGATGATGATGATGATGCTGATGATGATAGTGGTGCTGGTGGTGGTGGTCATGATGATGCTGATAATGATGATGATGCTAATGATGATAGTGGTGCTGGTTGTGGTGGTGGTCATGCTGATGATGATACTGACGATGATGATGATGCCGCTGATTCTGATGATGATGCTGACGATGATGATGATGATGCTGATGATGCTGCTGATGATGATGACGATGATGATACAGATGATGATGATGCTGATGATGCTGATGATGATGGTGATGATGCTGCTGATGATTATGATGCAACTGATGCTGCTGATGATGATGCTGATGCTGATGATGCTGATTCTGCCGATGATGATGTTGATACTGATACTGATGATGATGATGCTGATGATGATGATGATGATGATGATGATAATAATGATGATGATGATGATGCTGCCGATGATGATGATGATGATGCTGACGATGGTGATGCTGATGAGGATGATGATGCTGATGGTAGTGCTGATGGTGATGGTGAGGATGATGATGCTGATGATGATGCTGATGATGCTGATGATGATGACGATGATGGCGATTATGTTGCTGCCGATGATGATGCTGATGATGATGCTGATGATGATGATAATGATGATAGTGGTGCTGGTGGTGGTGGTGGTGGTCATGATGATGCTGATACTGATGATGCTGCTGCTGCTGCTGCTGATGATGATGATGATGATGATGATGACGATAGTGGTGGTGGTGGTGGTGGTGGTGGCCATGATGATGATGCTGATGATGATGATGATGATGCTAATGCTGATGCTGGTGCTGGTGCTGATGACGATGGTGATAGTGATGGTGATTCTGATGCTGATGCTGCTGATGATGATGATGAGGATGATGATGGTGATGATGATGGTGATGATTCCGACGATGACAACGATGATGATGGTGGTGGTGGTGGTGATGATGACGACGACGGCGAGGCGGATGATCAGCAGGGAGACCTGTGAGGTTGATGATCCTGGTCAGCATGATGATTCTGACCGTGATGCGTAGGAGTATGATAATGAGGAAGGTGAGGAGAAGGATGCAATACCGGTTCTGAGGATGCTGCTTCTGATGATGGTGATGCTGATGATGATGCTGATGATGCTGATGATGATGATAATGATGATGATGACGATGATGATGACGATTATGCTGCTGATGACGATGACGACGACGATGATGGCGGCGATGGCGACGACGACGACGGCCGCGGCAGCGGCGGCGACGACGACGTTGATGACGAGGAGGAGGAGGATGAGGTGGAGGAGGAGGAGGAGGAGTAGAGGAGGAGTAGAGGAGGAGGAGGAGGAGGAGGAGGAGGAGGAGGAGGAGGAGGATGAGGATGATGATGATGATGATGATGATGATGATGATGATGATAGAGCTCTCACTTCCAAATGGTAACTCTTGTTGGTCACCCCTGGCTGGCTGGCGTTGTGTCTCTCAACTGAAGAGCCCCCCGGGCTCGCACCCTGGGTGTTGTGGGCGTTTTTTTTCCCATCCCGTTTTCAACTTTTCGTGTTGCGGTCGACCGAAGCAGAAGCACAAATCACGGCAACCCAGCACATAACGACAACGACATTTGCTTGGCCCCAAGCGAGCGGAAAACGGCAACCCCAAGCAGACAAAGCACGGCAACCCCAAACAGCTACGCTGCTACGCAGCTACGAAAACAGAAAGATAACGGCAGTTATAACCAATTCAAGACATTATCGCAAAACCAGCCGAAAACGGCGCGACGTCAATCCCACAACACCACAAAAACAACACGGCCCCCAAAACACAACAAGAACGTAGATCTCGAAAACGATCAAAAGACAACCCCGAACGTTTTAAAGAACATCTAAGCTACTGGCGCCCCTGGCTACAACAACAGTAGCAGCGGCTCCCGCCTCGGACTTCCTGGCCATCTCTTCAGGACGCGCGCTCTCGCTCGCGAGTTCCTCGCAATTTGCCTCGGGAGTCGCGCTCTCGGCCAGGACTGCTCGACAACCCACCGAGGCGCTGCGCTCTCGACGGCCAGTATGCAGGAGTGAAGCAAAGCACACGTGCACGAAGAATCGTCGACCCCCCAGGGCAACACGGAAAAATACGGGGAGTGAAGGGGAGGGGACGGCGAAAGTCCAGAAAGTATCGGGAGATTGTCGGATGGTCGGGAAACTACGGCGGACCCTGGGATTTGTGTCTATTCATCTGTGTGTCTGTGTTTGTGTGTGTGTGTGTGTCCCTGGGCCCCTTCAAATCATCGATCTCCCGCACGAGCTCTCCTCGCTGCGGTGCCCCGCCCGCCCGAGCCGCCCGCGCCGCTCCGCCCGCCCCGCCCCGCCCCGTGGGCTCCGCGGCCGCCCGCTCCGCCAGGGGCTCCGCCCGCCCCGCCCGCTCGGAAGCTCGCCCGCCCGCCGTGCTGCCCAGCCGGACCCGCCCGTCGGGGTCCGCCCGCCCGTCAGCATCATTTGACCGATCCCCATCCCCATCCCTCTGGACGCCCGAAACGAGCACGGAAAGAATGGGCACAATGCCCAAGAGCGGATCTTGTTCATTTTGAGCAGGACTCGCTGTCCACGCCGCCGCGGCCCGTGTCCATTCGAGACAGCAGGCCGCCTGCCCAACAGCGGCCGCTGTTGGTTTGGGACAACATTTGTTGTTGGGCACGGTACCCATTTTTTCCGTACCCATTTCGGGCGTCCAAAATCCCCATTTCGAGCCCCACCATCTCTCAGGAGGGAAAAAAACACACAGACACAATTAATCGTCGATTTCCCAGAAAATGAGAAAATATGGGAAGTGGTGGGGAAGACAAAAACCCAGAAAATATAGGAAAATATGGGGAATCTTTTTATTTGTGTGTATATTTATTTGTGTGTCCCAGTTTCCCTTCAATCTCACCACCCCAGTTGGGGGTGTGCCCCTCGAAGCCCGAAGGGAGCAGCCCGTATCCCCATCTAGGGGGGGGGGGCAAATCGGCCAGTGGGGCCCAGGCCACACCGGGGGGGGACAGGGATCGGTTAGACGATGCTCAGCACGACCCGCCAGTCAGGGTCCGCCGCCCGATGCGCCCGTTAGGGTCCGCCCGCCCGACCTGGCCGCCAGGATCCGCCCGCCTGGCCAGCCCGTTGGGGCCCGTCTGCCCATCGTCCTGCGCCTCGTCTCTCCCCTCTCGTCCCCAGTCTTCCTTCCTCTCGCCCCTCTTCCTTTTCGTTTCCTCCTCCCTCCCTGACCCCCTCTTTCCATTTTCAGGGCCGCGCCAGCTACACGTGGCGGGCGAGGAATGCATACCCCCCAACGGGGTACGATCGAAGGCGAATGGGGCGGATATCTCGGGTTTGGGTTCTGCATGTTGCGCGATGCAAAATTGTGGGGGAAAGACGACGACGAGGACAAGGACGAGGACGAGGATGATGATGATTCTGATGATGATGCTGATTATGATGATGATGGTGCTAATTATGATGATGCTGATGATGCTGATGATGGTGATGGTGATGACTATGATGCTGGTGATGATGCTTATGATGCTGCTGATGCTGCTGATGCTGCCGATGATGCTGCTGATGATGATGGTGATGATTACAGCTGGCGCTGATGCTGCTGCTGATGATGATGATTCTGATGGTGCTGATGATGATGCAGGATTATTATCATGATGGTGATGATGTTGCTGCTGATGATAGTGCTGATGATGCTGATGATGCAGATGATGATAATGATTATAGCTGATGCTGATAATGCTGCTGCTGAAGATGATAATACTGATGAGGATGATGATGATGCTGATGATGATGATTCTGATGATTATGATGATGCTGATGATGATGTGTACGGTGCTGATGATGAGTGTGATGCTATGATTACGATGATGCTGCTGATGATGACGCTGCTGATGGTGATGACGATGATGATGATGATGATGATGATGATGATGATGATGATGATGATGGTGATTATGATGCTGGTGATGATGCTGTTGCTGCTGCTGCTGATGATGATGATGATGATGCTGTTGATGCTGCTGCTGCTGATGATGATGCTAATGCTGATGATGTTGCTGATTCTGCTGCTGATTATGATGATACTGACGATGATGCTGATGATGATGTTGATGATGATGCCGATGATGCTGCTGCTGATGATGATGATGATGATGATGATTATGATGATGATGAGGCTGATTATGATGGTGATGATGATGCTGATGCTGCTGATGACGATGACGGTGATGGCGATTAGGTTGTTGCTGCTGCTGCTGATGATGATGATGATGATGATGGTGATGGTGGTGATGATAATGCTGCTGATGATGGTGCTGATTCTGCTGATGCTGATGATGCTGATGCTGATGCTGCTGATGATGCTGACGATGCTGATAATGCTGATGATGATCATGATGATGCTGCTGCTGATGATGATGCTGATGATGATTTCGGTGGTGGTGATGGTTGCGGTGATGGTAATGATGATGATGATGATGATGATGATGATGATGATGATGATGATGATGATGCTGATGCTGATGCTGATCCTGATGCTGATGCTGATGCTGATGCTGATGCTGATGCTGATGCTGATGCTGAGGTTGATGATGACGACGACGATGATGATGATGATGATGCTGATGCTGATCTTGATGCTGATGCTGATGCTGAGGTTGATGATGACGACGACGACGATGGTGATGATGATGATGGTGATGATGATGATGATGATGATGATGATGATGAAGATGCTGATGCTGATGATGCTGATGATGCTGATGGAGGAGGAGGATGATAATGGGGAAGGTGAGGAGAAGGATGCAATATCGGTTCTGAGGATGCTGCTTCTGATGATGCTGATGCTGATGATGATGATGATGTTGATGATGCTGATGATGATGACGATGATGATGATGATGTTGATGATGATGATGATGATGATGCTGATGCTGATGCTGATGCTGAGGTTGATGACGACGACGACGATGACGATGATGATGATGCTGATGATGATGATGATGATGATGATGATGATGATGCTGATGCTGATGCTGATGCTGATGCTGATGCTGATGCTGATGCTGATGCTGATGATGCTGATGGAGGAGGAGGAGGAGTAGGATGGAGGAGGAAACATGGGGAGGCAGAGGGAGGAAGGGAGGAGGGTTGGGACGGCCAGAGTGTTCTCCGCGCGCCCTGGGCACGGGAGTGCGGCTCTATTGCGACGTCTCTGCAGGATCCTGTGGCTTGACGTGGACACCATCGTGACCACGGAGCGGGGGCTCAGGGATGGGATTGTTGGTTGTTTTCGACGTCTCTGGCATCCTCGTCTCACCGGGCGCACTCCACTAATCGCAACGTGCCTACTCGCAAACGTCCATGCCCGCCTCCGATGTGATGGATCGTAGATCCCTCGCAGCGGCGCCAGGCCGTTTGCGAGTGGTTACTTTGCGAGTAGTGAAGCGCGCTTGCCTACTCTTCCCGCCATCTGGCCAGTCCTAGCACTGCGGAGCCCCCTTCCCGTCCCCGTTGGGGAGCTGGCCGTTTTCAGGCACGAGGGGGGCAATGCAGCAGGCTTTTTCCACGAGCGGCCTGTCAGCCAAGGGTTTGCTTGTGGCTCACAAGCGGGGGGCCGTGGCCCGCCCGGGAGTCTGCGACTCGATGGCCCCCTATGGTCTCCCGTGTGCTCTCCCGCGGGTTCTCCCGTGCGATCTCCTCAGTATCCAGGTCTCCCAGATGGGGTCGGAGCAGTTGGGGTCGAAGGATCTCGCCGCATCGGCGATGCATCGCCGATGCGTTGCCGATGCGGCTCGATGCGGATCCCGATTTTCTCCACGCAGACGGCGCGGATGCATCGCCGATGCGGCGCGATCCTCCGACCCCATCTGTTCGGACCCCATCTGGGAGGCCTCTACAGTAGCCATCTCGTCAAACTTCGAAATTCGTTCCCTGACTGCTGGGAAGGCGCCGTGCCGCCCAGGGTGCCTCAGAAAGAGGAGGGGGAGGGGGCGGTGCACGCGGGAGAGTGCTGGCAGAGCGGGGGGTCCCTCGGAAGAATGCAGACGCTTTGCCAGGCAGCCCTTGGCATTCTACCACGCCTCAACGTGCCAGGGTCGGCGGCGAGCGAAGGGGGGAAGTGAGAAGGAGAAGGCCTTGCCAGAAGGCGGCTGGACTCCTCCCAAAGCCCTCGCGCCTTCTGGGAAGTTTTCTGCGTCTTCGGGGAAGGCTTAGAGACCTTCTCCTCAAGAGGCCCGCCCCTTCTCACTTCCCCCCCTTGTTCGCCTCCGATAGGGGGCACGGTGGCGGATAAGCTTGAATTATGATTTTCAGGCACGCGCGCAGCTTCCGCCCAGGCGCCAGGCACATGCGATCAATTTTACCTCGGAGGCTTTTTCCATTCCGCCGACCCCCAGGAGGAGGAGGAGGAGGAGGAGGAGGAGGAGGAGGAGGAGGAGGAGGAACTGTGCGGCTTCCGATTTCGTGTGCGTTATTCGCCGCGTGCCGTCGTGCTGTCTGCGTGTAGCTGTTTCTTGTGTGTGTGTGTGTGTGTGTGTGTGTGTGTGTGTGTCCTCTTCTCTCGCGTCTGTTGCGGGAGGCTTCGTGGGGCGCTCTGGGAAGCCTCGTGGGCAGCCTTTCGGGAGCCTTTTCAAGGCAGCTGGGTGATCCTCGAATTTTCGGGGCCCTTTAAGGGCTTCCTGGGAGGCTCTTTGGGGCATCTTGGCGAACTGCTGGGCCTCTCGGGGGCTATCTTGTGGGGGATGGCTCCCCGGCCCTGACGAGTTCTCCCTCTTGGGCATCGCCAGCCCCTCCTGGGATCCCCTTGAAATGGCGAGAATACGGACATTCTATTAAAAACCATTGGACATGCAATGATTTGTGCGTCTTGAGGCCGTCGTCTTGTGGGTCCTCTTGGGCCATCCTGGGTGTTCTTGAGGCCTCTCCGGCGCGTTGGAACCTCTCTGGAGCCATCTCAGAAGGCATCTTGGGTATTTTGGAGGTCGCGGTGGGTGGATTGGGAGGCTCGGACGGCCAGGGCGGTGCGCTAGGGAGCTCGTGCCCCCCTCTAACAAATCTGGGTCCCCTGGGCAGGGGGAGAGGGAGAGGGGGACAGCCCAATGTCTCGCACGCCTGGGGGTCGGCGAATTGCAACATTTACACGGATTCACGGCGAGCAGTTTTCACAATCTGGCTATCGCCCTGATGCTGCGTGCAAGCGTTTGAAGGTATCGCAGCAGCTTCACTGACGGAGGTGCGTTTAAGCACTGCGGTTCTCGCCTTGGTGCCGTGCACATTCGTCTTCCAAGTTTGCAACAGGTGCACGGATCGAGGCGCTACCTTTTCAGTTTTGTGTTCTCGCGTTGAGGTTTCCTCCACGTTTCCGTCACAAGTTCTAACTTCTTATTGGATTGCCTCCTTGCCAAAGTGGATTGGACGTGGAGTGCAGGAGGACCACGAGGGGGATGATGATGATGATGATGATGATGATGATGATGATGATGATGATGATGATGATGCTGATGATGATGCTGATGATGATGATGACGATGATGACGATGATGACGATGATGACGATGATGATGATGATGATGAGGAGGAGGAGGAGGAGGAGGAGGAGGAGGAGGGGGAGGAAGAGGAGTAAGAGAAGGGGGACCAGCGGGAGGAGGAGGAGAAGGAGGAGGAGGAGGAGGAGGAGGAGAAGGAGAAGGATAGGGAGAAGGAGAAGGAGAACGATGGTGATGGTGATGGTGATGGTGATGGTGATGATGCTGCTGATGATGATGATGCTGCTGCTGATGATGATGATGACGAGGAGGAGGAGGAGGAGGATAAGGGGTACCAGCGGGAGGAGGAGGAGGAGGGGAAGGAGAAGGAACGGAGCAGGAGAAGGATGGTGATGGTGATGGTGATGGTGATGATGCTGCTGCTGCTGATTATGATGATGATGAGGATACTGATGCTGATGATAATTGTGCTGATGATGCTGATTATGGTGATGGTGATGGTGATGATGACGATGATGATGATGACCATGATGATGATGATGATGATGATGATGATGATGATGATGATGATGATGCTGATGATGATGGTGATGATGATGATGATGATGATGATGATGATGATAATGTTAAATGCTGATGATGCTGATGATGCTGCTGCTGATGATGATGATGATGATGATGCTGATGATGCTGATGATTATGATGCTGCTGATGATGGTGATTCTGATGATGATGATGATTGTGATGATGATGATGATGATGATGATGATGATGATGATGATGATGATGATGATGATGATGATGATGATGCTGCTGCTGCTGCTGCTGATGATGATGATGATGATGATGATGATGATGATGATGATGATGATGATGATGATGATGATGATGATGATGCGGAGGAGGCGAGGGCCTCGCTTCATCGAAGGATACTGTCCGCTGCTCGACGCTCGAATCAGGAGGAGGAGGAGGAGGAGGAGGAGGAGGAGGAGAAGGACAGGGTTCAGTGAGCGGGGAAATGGTTCTTCCTCTCCCTCCTGCGCCTGCTCACTCTTCTCCTCATCCTCTCCGCTCCCCTCACCTCTCTCCTCCTCCCCTGTTCCGTTTCATCTGCCCTGCTTTCCGCAGCTTCTTCTTGGCCCTTGGAGCTAGGATCCAGGATCAAAGATCCAGATCTCGCGCTCAGGTGGCAGTTCCCCATTCAGCTTGAGCTCTGGCGCCCAGTGCAATTGCAAACCACCATCAGGACGCTGAGCTGAGGGATCGAGTCTTATGCCAAATGGCCTCGGTCCATACGACTTTGGCGCGCAGCTTCGCACCCACGTCACGCACAACATGGACAACAACGCGACGGCAACCCACTGGGGGGCAGCCACATGTCGGGCGTCGCCCGACGCCCCCAGCAGCTGAAGAGGGTGCCCTCCCAGGACTTCGGTTGGTGCTCTTCTCGCTCGCGCGTGCGGACTCCCCGCCTCTCAGGATGTGACCGGCCTCTTCCTGACGCAGATGACCACCCCGATTGCGGCGCGCCCGATCAAGAAGCAGATCGTGGGCCACGAGTTCAAGGGGGTGACCGATGCTTTGTGTTGCCTCCTCTTGCTGTGCATGTGCGAGACTGGTGTGTGCGTGTGTGTGTGTGTGTGCCTGCGAGGTGTGTGTGTGTGTGTGTTTATTGTCGTTTTGGTGACGCCGCTTGGCCAGTGAAGGAACAAGTATGTCCATTCTCTGCGCGGTTTCTCTCTCGGCTCGCGGCTCGATTTTTCTTTAATTGGCCTTCGTTGCTATACCTCTTCCAGCCCGTCCTGCATCGCCTGGTTTTTCTGTCCTGGTGTCGCCATGGCGCGCTTCCAGGAATTCAAGCTTGCCACGCTCTTCACACGGAAGCGAATTCTGGTTGCTGGCATCCCCAGAGCCGTTACCGCTGGCAGGACCTCACTGGCGCGTCGGGGGAACACGAAGTGCTCATGCTCCCCTTCGCCACCTTCCAGGCCGCACTTCTCCGCTTCGGCGATGGCCCTGGCCTTGGGTCGGGCATGCCCTCCTATAGGCGGATTTTGGTTGAAAAATAAGATGTAGACAAAAGTATTCAAACATAGTACCAAATAGTCGGAACATTGCCCCTGGATTATTTCTGATTCTTGTGGAGGCCTGGTGGCCGGTGCCGCCGACCCTGAAACACATAGACAACGACCAGGAGGAAGGAGGAGGAGAAGGAGGAGGAGGAGGCGGCGACAAGGAGGAGGAGGAGGAGGACCAGTGTAAACCCAAGAGTCACCAACGATGTTGGAATAAACCCTCCCCCCAAGATCCCTCTTCATATGCCTCTACAACGGTTCACTTCCACAGAGGGACCTGCCTCGTTGGAAGACAACCGTTTGAAGACCCTGAAGCATGCCAAAATATGATTCTCGGTATTCCAACGCCACGGATGAACCTGATTGTTGCGTCTTGACGATCCTGAATCATGCCAGAACGCAATTCCTGGGACTTCAACTCCACGAATCATCGTATTTGTTGCGTCCTCAAAATAGTGAATCCTTCCAAGACACCATTTCTTGTACGTCGATCATGGGAATCCGTGAAATTCTGTATCAAGAATGTGCGCGGCTCTAAGGCGAGACATTTTGAAAACGACCCGCCATCAATCCGTGCAAGTCTTGCAATTTTCAAGAAAGAATGCGCGCGGCGATAAGGCGAGAGTCACATTTTGAAAACGACCGGCCGTCAATCCTTGAAGCTCTTGCGAATCTAAAAAACGAGTGTGCGCGGCGCTAAGGCGAGAGCCACATTTGAAAACGACTCGCCCTCAGTACGTGAAGCTCTTGCGAACTTCTTAGCGGGAGCCACATTTTGAAAGTCACCCGCCCTCAATCAGTGAAATTCTTGCAATTCTTGAAAACAAATGTGTACGCGGCGCTAAGGCGAGAGCCACATTTTGAAAACGACCCGCCCTCAATCCGTGAAGCTCTTGCAAATTCTGAAAACGAAAGTGCGCGGCGCTAAGGCCAACGCCACATTTTGAAAGCGTCCCGCCCTCAATCTGTGAAGCTCTTGAGAATTTTTAATAACGAATTTGCGCGGCGCTAGAGCGAGAGCCACATTTTGAAAACGACCCGCCCTCCATCTATAAAGCCGTAGTCAGTTTTTGAATTTCAGGGTCATCAATGGTGAGGAGGTCTCAGGCGAAACGCCTGGCCCGCCCTAAAAACTGGCCTTGGGGTGCGACAGGGACAAGGTATTCATAAGGAAAAGGAATGTAGGAGAAGGAGGAGCAAAAGGACTCCCCCCTGGGCCCCCCCCTGGGGAGGAGGACCGGAGGAGGACCAGCGTGGGAGAGGGGAGAGGAGCGGAGGGGGAGGAGGACCCCGAGGGACGGATGCGTATCTGACTCCTCTGCCCCCCTGGGAGACCTCCCCACCCGGGTAGGAGGACCCGAGGAGGACCGGCGCGCTGGAGATGGACCGGCGTGGGAGAGGAGCCCCCCCAGAGGCGATGCGAATCTGAACCCCCCTCACCCGGGACGCCCCCCCTTTCCCGCTGGGGAAGGGACAAAGGGAAGAGGCTTCCTTTTAACGCAATGAGGACTTGGATGGAAGTCCCTCAAGGTGCGAGCCCCCATCCCCGAACGAGGAAGGGCGCTCTCCCCCTCTCTCTCCCCCGACGGGAGAGGATGATGGGAAGGAGGGGGCGAAAGAAGGCTCCCCGTCGACGGGACCGGACAGACACCCCACACGCCGACAGGGTCGGCAGATTTTCCGAAGAAGGCGTTTATAATACACCACCACCGTGCCAGGCCGGGGCCACCCTGGGCCCTAGGATGTTGTATAGACCCTCCCGGCTTCGGCCAGGAGGGCGTATACACCATGCCAGGGCCAGGATGGCCCTGGCCTGGCTCGGTGGTGGTGGTGTACAGACGCCTTCGTCGGAAAATAGTCAAAAGATCGTCAAGGGGCAATGTTCCGACTATTTTCAAAATCCGCCTGTAGGAGGACATGCCCGACTCAATACTGGTCGGAGCCGCGCCCGCAACTCTTCGGCCCCCTCGTGGCATTTGCGGTGGCCGACTCCTCGGCGGCCCGCCCCAGGGGGAAGAAACCACGGGGGCGCTGGCCTCCTCAGAAGTCGCCGCGGCTCCTCAGAAATGGCCCAGCGGGGCTTCTTAGAAACCTGCGCGCCCTCTGAGGGGATCTCTTGTGCCCTCGGAGATAATCAGGCGATCGCAAGCATGGATCAAGGGGGCGTGGATTAGCGACGGGTCCCGCTTCCATGGGAAATCGCGGATTTCCGCCGCCGAACGAGGCCGCACCGGCCGCATTTCGGGGAGGGCACCTCCCCCGATCCATGGATTTGGCGACTGTGCGCCAAATCCATGGATCGCAAATCCGTGTTTGCGCGCCCCCGAGAAAAAGGTTCAGAGAACTTCTCGGAAGGCGCGAGGGTTTCTGCGAAGCCCGGCCGCCTTCTGAGAAGGCCTGCCCCCTCTCACTCCTCCCTGGGCGCGCCGCCAGACCTTTGCCCTCGCGATATAGGTAGGTTCGCGTCGTGTCGACAGGCGGCGGCCCCGCCGCTGGCGTTCAACGTTGAACGCCGCCGGCGACTCATAACCGGTCGACGTTGAACGATCCGACCTTTCGGAAGTGGCCGATCATTCAAGGTTGAAGATCCCCGCGGTGTCAGGAACCACCGTCCCAGGTCGACATGGCACGAGCCCGCGGTAGGCGACGTCCTGGCTGCTGAACGCCCCGAAACTGGCCCTGGCCGGTGGGTCCCTGCCCTCAAAAGTTCGCAGGGCAACGTCGTGGTCGCCGAGGTCGGACGGGGCCAGGACGAGGGTAAATCCGTTCCAGAGCGTTCCGGAACGCTCTCAGAGCGTTCCGGAGCGCTCTGAGAAGGCCGCGGCGCCCGAGACATTTTCTAGAACCGCCGGCCTTCAGAGATTCTCGATTATTCCTCGCCCGATTTTAGCCTCGTCCTGAATTCGTCTTGCGAGGGCCCGCGTAGTTGGCCCCAAGTCGCCCAAAAACTTACGTGAAGGTGGCCCGAGGCGCGCATTCGACACCCCGACCCCAGGGCGCCCTGAGGAAGCTGTCTCCGGTCTTGGCCCTCTTGGGGCCCACTTCAGGCCCTCTTGGGGCCCTCTTGGGCCGTCTTGGAAGCCTCTCGGGCCATCTTGGGACCCTGTTGCCGTCCTTTGCTTTTTCCCAACCATCCTGTGGTGTTGGGTCCTCGTTTTGAAGAGACGGTCCCCGCGTCCCTCCTTCCTCCTTCCTCCTCCTCCCCCTCCTCCTCCGCACACCCACTTCGGCACCCCTCACACCTTTCGTGGCCCTATAGGAAGCTCCACCGAAGGCCCCAGTGCTGCCGCCCGCATGCGTCCCGCACACCCATTTCGGCACACCCTTCACACGTTTCGTGGCCCCATAGGGAGCCCCACCGAAGGCTCCAGTGCTGCCGCCCGCATGCGTTCCGCACACCCATTTCGGCACACCCCTCACACGTTTCGTGGCCCCATACGGAGCTCCACCGAAGGCCCCAGTGCTGCCGCCCGCATGCGTCCCGCACACCCATTTCGGCACACCCCTCACACGTTTCGTGGCCACATAGGGAGCTCCACCGAAGGCCCCAGTGCTGCCGCCCGCATGCGTCCCGCACACCCATTTCGGCACACCCCTCACACGTTTCGTGGCCCCATAGGGAGCTCCACCGAAGGCCCCAGTGCTGCCGCCCGCATGCGTCCCGCACACAATTCGGCACACCCCTCACACGTTTCGTGGCCCCATAGGGAGCTCCACCGAAGGCCCCAGTGCTGCCGCCCGCATGCGTCCCGCACACCCATTTCGGCACACCCCTCACACGTTTCGTGGCCCCATAGGGAGCTCCACCGAAGGCCCCAGTGCTGCCCCGCACACCGGCACACCCTGCGTCCCGTTCTGCCGCCCGCATGCGTCCCGCACACCCATTTCGGCACACCCCTCACACGTTTCGTGGCCCCATAGGGAGCTCCACCGAAGGCCCCAGTGCTGCCGCCCGCATGCGTCCCGCACACCCATTTCGGCACACCCCTCACACGTTTCGTGGCCCCATAGGGAGCTCCACCGAAGGCCCCAGTGCTGCCGCCCGCATGCGTCCCGCACACCCATTTCGGCACACCCCTCACACGTTTCGTGGCCCCATAGGGAGCTCCACCGAAGGCCCCAGTGCTGCCGTCCGCATGCGTCCCGCACACCCATTTCGGCACACCCCTCACACGTTTCGTGGCCCCATAGGGAGCTCCACCGAAGGCCCCAGTGCTGCCCCGCATGCGTCCCGCACACCCAATTCGGCACACCCCTCACACGTTTCGTGGCCCCATAGGGAGCTCCACCGAAGGCCCCAGTTGCGTCCCGCACACCCATTTCGGCACACCCCTCACACGTTTCGTGGCCCCATAGGGAGCTCCACCGAAGGCCCCAGTGGCGGCGCTCACATGCGCATGCGTCCCGCACACCCATTTCGGCACACCCCTCACACGTTTCGTGGCCCAGTCATCCACCGCAGGCCCCAGTGGCGGCGCTCACTTGCGTCGCCCGCACCCGCCCACTTCGGCACACCCCTCACACGTTTCGTGGCCCCATAGGGAGCTCCACCGAATGCCCCAGCGGCCGCGCTCACATGCGTCCCCGCCACCCATCCCGGCACGCCCCTCACAACAACAGGGTTCGTGGCCCCATAGGGAGCTCCACCGAAGGCCCCAGTGGCACCGCCCGCATGCGTCACCACCCGCACCCAATTCGGCACACCCCTCACACGTTTCGTGGCCCCATCGGGAGCTGCACCGAAGGCCCCAGCGTCGGCGCTCACATGCGTCCCCGCCACACATCCCAGTACACCCCTCACGCGCTTCGTGGCCCCATATGGAGCTCTACCGAAGGCCCCGGTAGCGGAGCTTGCATGCGTCTCCGCCACCCATCCCGGCACGCCCCCCGCAGCAGCATCATGTTCCGGGGCCCCATAGGGAGCTCCACTGGAGGCCCCAGCGGCGGCCCTCACATGCGTTTCCGCCACCCATGTCGGCACGCCCCGCGCGTGTTTCATGTCCCCATAGGGAGCTTCACCGAAAGCCCCAGTGGCACCCATCTCGGCACACCCCTCACACGTTCCGTGGTCCTATGGGGAGTTCTACTGAAGATGAAACCCACAGCTGCGGTACTGACAACTGCATATGGTTTGGGCTCTTCGCCAGGCTAATTGGGGGGGGGGGGGGGCTTTTGGAGGTCCTCGTTGAGATCTTTTGGCTTCCCTCTGGCCCCTCCGAGGCGCTCGAGGCGTGGCGACACAAATGCTTGAAGCAAGCATTTGGGCCGCTGGAGATCCCCCGCAAGCCTCCCAGAAGCCTCTTGGGACCCCTGGGGCCTCTTTCGGCCACGCACAGCGGGGGGGGGGTAGGGGGAGGGGGGGAAGGCTTCTCAGAAGTACCCCTACACCCTAAGGCGATGCTTAAGAAAACGGAAGGTTTCGGCCAGAGTCTCGATTATTCTTACTGTTTCAATGTAAATCCTAAAAGCTTAGTAGACATTTATTGTTTTTATTCGAATTCTTGAGACTATGAATTTCGTAACCCATGATTTCTTAAGCATTTCGCAGGGTGTGCTTTTTAGCAGGCGCGGGCCTTGTCCATAGAGGTAGGGCCGGCGCCTTTAAGAAGCCTCCTTCTTTTAAGAAGCCTTACCCCTCTCCCCCTACCCCCTTGTGCGCGCCTCCAACTCTTGAGGGCCTGGGGGCATGCTGGCTGTCTCGGATGCATTGGCGTGGAGGGCGCTAGTCCGAGTTCCCCTCTTGGGCCCCTCTTGAGGGCCTCTTGGGGGGCCTCTTGCAGGCCTCTTTGAAGGCTCCTGGGGTCCTCGTGGAGTCCATTAAAGGCCTCCTGGGGCCTCTCTTGGGGGCCTCTTGGGGGCTCCTGGGGTCTCGTGGGAGCCCCTCTTTCGTGGGCCCATCCAGGGGGTCTCTGGGGCCCTCTTGGGCGGGTCTTCGGGGCCTCTTGGGTCGTTGTGGGCGCCCTTCAGACCCAAGCTCCCAGTATGCGAAAATAGTGCAACTTACTAGTGTTTATCAATGAGTGTGACCTCTCACCCACAATATCCACGCTCTCTGGGCCTGGGGAAGAGTTACGGGGGCATCCCTGGGAGCATCTAGAAGCGCCCACGAATTTTAGAAACCCGGGTTCTGGGGGTCTTTCAGGGTATTCACAGCACGCAGTGACGTGACTTCGCGGGGGCCTGAATACATTCTGCTCAGTTGTCTTGCGGCACGTGGACGGAAATTGCAGCATGTTCTGATGATCATCTCCCCACGTTCGACTACATGGTGACGTTCTTTTTAGGCGGGGGGGTGCCTGACCAGCGGCTCGCTGATGCATCTCGCGCCGACGAAGGCGCTCAGTCAGCCTTTCCGCGTGCCGAAGGGAGGGAGGCATCCCAAATCCAAGTGCGAGACAGCCAACAGTCTGGCTCGATCAAGCACGGAGCAAACAAAAACGCTTCCAGTGGTCGTGCACGAAAGACCTCGACCAGAAGCACCAATTCACGTCCTTCAACACGGGTGTGATGGTGCTGGATCTGAACAGGTCTGGGCTCTGAGCGACGTGTCGGGGAAGGACGGGGCAGGAAGCATGCCCGCGAGCCGAGGAGGCAGGTGATAAGGAGGTGGAGCAACGGGAGGTGAGAATGAGACGGAAACGACGGCGGAGGCGGAGGAGTGAGGAGGAGAGAAGGATGAAGAGGAGGGACGAGAAGGGGGAGGGAGTTAGATAGGAGGAGGAGGGGAGGAGGAGGAGGACCAGTGTAAACCCAAGAGGCATCAACGATGTTGGAATAAACCCTCCCTCCAAGCACCCTCTTTATTGGCCCCTACAACGATTCAGTTGCATTGAAGGAACTGCCTCTTTGGAAGACAACCGTGTGAAGACCCTGAAGCATGCCAGAACATTGTTCTCGGGATTCCACCGCCACGGATGAACCTGACTGTTGCGTCTTGCTGATCCTGAATCGTGCCAGAACTCCATTCCTGGGACTCGAACACCGCGAATCAACATAACTTGTGCACTATCATAAGCTTGAATCCTTTCATAACACAATTTTCTGGTACGTTGATCCTGGGAAACCGTGGAACTCTTGCACATCTCAAGGCGAACGTGCGCGGCGCTAAGGCGAGAGCCACATTTTGAAAAAGAACCGCCCTCACTACGTGAGACTCAATGTGCGCGGCGCTAAGGCGAGAGCCACATATTGAAAACGGCTCGCCCTCAATCCGTCAACCTGTTGCAATTGTTTTTGTTCAAAGTGTGCGCGGCGCAAATTCAAACGCGAGAGCCGCAGTTTGAAACCGACCCGCCCTCAATCCGTCACGGTCTTGCAAATGGTCAAACGAGTGCGCGCGGCGTTACGGCGAGAGCCACATTTTGAAACCGACCCGCCCTCAACCCGTGAGGCTCTTGCAAGTGTTAAAGGCGAGTGTGCGCGGCACTAAGGCGAGAACCACATTTTGAAAAGGAACCGCCCCCACTCCGTGAAGCTCTTGCAAATGTTTAAGTCGAGTGCGCGTGGCGCTAAGGCGAGAGCCACATTTTGAACACGACCCGCCTTCTATCTGTGAAGCTGTTGTCCAATTCTGAGCTTCAGAGTCATACGTGGTGAGGAAGTCTCAAGCGAAACGCCCGACCCGCCCTAAAAACTGGACTCGGGGTGCGACAGGGAACAATTATTCAGAAGGAGAAGGAATGGATGAGGAGGAGGAAGATGAGGTGGAGGAGGAGGACCAGTGTAAACCCAAGAACCACCAACGATGTTGGAACACATCCTCCCTCCAAGCTCCCTCTTTATAGGCCCGTACAACGGTTCATTTGCATTGAAGGAACTGCCTCTTTGGAAGACAACCGTTTGAAGACCCTGAAGCATGCCAAAACATTGGTCTCGGGACTCCAACGTCACGGATGAACCTGACGGTTGCGACTTGACAATCCTGAATCGTGCCAGAATTTCATTCCTGGGACTTAGCACAGCGAAACAACACAACTGCTTCGCCAGCATAATCCATCATCTTTTCAAAACGTCATGGCTGTCACATTGATGGGAATCCGTGAACATGTTACGAATGTGTGAAAACGAATGTGCGCCTCACTAAGGCGAGAGCCACATGTTGAAAAGGAACCGCCCTCAGTCCGTGAAGCTCTTGCAAATTTCGAAAACGAATGTGCGCGGCGCTGAGGCGACAGCCACAGTAAAAAAAAACGACCCGCCCTCAATCCGTCAAGCTCTTGCAAATCTTTTAAACGAATGTGCGCCGCGCAAAGGCGAGAGCCACATTTTTGAAAACGACCCGCCCTCAATCCGTGAAGCTCTTGCAGATTTAAAACGAATGTGCGCCGCGATAAGCGAACCCCACACTTTGAAAACGACCCGCCCTCCGTCTGTTAGACTGTTGCCAATTTTGTAAGCTTCAGAGTCGTAAATGGTGAAGAAGTCCGAGGGAAAACGCCCAGCCCGCCCTAAAAATTGGCCTCGGGGTTGCGACAGGGAGAAGTTATATACATATATAGAGATATATCTATATGTCTATTGAAGTGGAAAGGAGGAGGAGGAAGAGGAGGAGGAGGAGGAGGAGGAGGAGGAGGAGGAGGAGGAGGAAGAGGAGGACGAAGAGGAGGAGGAGCAGGAGGAGGAGCAGGAGGAGGAGGAGGAGGAGGAGGAGGAGGAGGGGGAGGAGGGGGAGGGAGGAGCAGGAGGAGGAAGACCAGGAGGAGGAGGAGGAGGAACAGGAGGAGGAGGAGGGAGGAGTAGGAATGGGGCGACGTACCGCAAGTGTATGTTTTGTTGGTGGTGACGGCGCCGTGTGGTGGGCTACGACTACGAGGGTAGCCACAGTACCACACCAGGTGGAACGCGTTTTGCGTTTCAGGCCATCGAGGTAAAACTAACAGTATTTATTTCGGCCATGTTCCACAACTTACCGAGGACGCGCATGTTCACCAGCATGTGGTGGCCTGATTCCAATGCCCAGGCGATCTGTTTGCCACTGCGCTGGGCGTTCTCTATCATGCCCTAGCACGCGACTCGGCGGCGGTCGTCTTCCGAGTTCGAAGTGACGAACTGCACCGGTAGTTGCGAGTCCAGCAGCATGTAGACATCATGCCACCATGCCAGGTTACATTTCCATTCGATCGTTCCGATTCGATGCCGAGTTCACCTGGCTCGATCTGATTCAATTCCAATTTCTTCGCAGTCTGGTTCGGCCCGATGCTTGCATAGCGAGGTCGTGGATCCTGGCACAGTCGATTTGATTTGATTTCGAGTCCGTGCCGATGCAGTGCGATCCGAAGCACATTCTGATTGCACCCGCAGAAGGATGCAGACCTGCCGACTGGACCTGGTGGCACCGGATTTAGTCTTGACAGCAGCTTTGGAGCGGGCCCAGAGGCATGCGAACGATTTGTGCGCCTAGCTCACCGCGCTGCCTGTGATCATTCGGCATCTGAGGTCTACTCGCGGTATAATCGTGGCGTGGCAAACAGCGTATCGGCGATGTCTTGCCGATTCCAGGTCGATGTTCCCCCCCTCTGCCAGTCCCCCCCTTATCGTCGCCCCTCATGCTGTCTTCACGCCAAGGTTCGGCGTGCGGGCTCGCCTCTTGCAGGTTGGCCTGGTCGTCTTTCTGGGTTTGCTTGGAGGCCGCGACGCGCGCGTGCGTCTGGGGGTTCGATGGCGTTGCGCAAGAACAACAAATCCTTTGAAACACGCACGCAGACGGCGGAAACAAACACACGGTGGAAACAATCACACACACATGTGTGACAAACAACACATGTGTGTGTTTGTTTAACACATGTGCGTGTTTCTTGTGTGGTTGTTTCCGCGCGCGTGTGTGTGTGTGTGTGTTTTTGTGTGTGTGTGTGTGTGTGTTCTGCTTCGGGAGCTCTCAGGGCGGCATCGCGGTCCGTTTCGGAGGTCTCGTCGTCGTCGTCGTCGTCGTCGTCGTCGTCGTCGTCGTCATCGTCGTCGTCGTCGTCCCTCTCCCTTCTCATCTTGGCGGCTTTGGGGTCCCTGTGGGAGGGTGGGGGAGGGACCGTACATGGACTTTACATTCGAACCCTGTGGCCCAAGATGCCCCCCCGACCCCCCGAAATTAATACTGATGGCGTGTCGACGAGGGGGGCGTGAGTGGACAGAAATATTCAAACCCCAAACCACCGCCTTTACTGAGATCAACATTGATGTCGGGGGCGCGGGGGTGATTTAGAATCTCCCTCGAATGTGTGAGGGTTCGAATATATTGTCCATCTACTGGAGCACTGTCACCAGGGGGAAGTGGACGCAACGATCTCGCCAGAGGTGTGCCCGGCAGCCCCAGGGGGTGGGCGAACTCCTCCAGCGCGGTTCGCGCCCGAATCCAGTTGCGCTTCCGCGCGATTCTGCACCGCGCTCGGGTGGGCGTGGGGGAGGGAGGCATCATCCTCATCCTCATCCTCATCCTCATCATCCTCATCCTCATCCTCATCCTCATCCTCATCCTCATCGTCATCCTCATCCTCCTCCTCCTCATTATCATCATCATCATCCGCCTATTCCTCCTCCTTCCTTCCTCCTCCCTCCTCCCCCTTCTCCTCTTTTTCCTCCTCCTCCTCCTCCTCCTCCTGTGGGGGGATGGGGGAAGGGTCCATGGATCCCCCAGGCTTTGTATTTGGGGCCGTTTTCTACCTGGAAGGCCATCGGCGCAGGGACTCACTTGCGCAAATGAGCGCATTTCTTGGGCTCGGTCGGGGGGCCCTCATTTTTTGTTTCGCAGAAAGTGAGAAGGGCCCGACGCACACCAACCGCTGCAAGCGTGGTGGCGGATAATTTGGGTCGGGCTGGCAGGATATTGAGCACAGCATGAGTCAGAGGGGGATGGAGGACGAAGAGAAAGTTTGCCTCGAAAATGTCAGCCCTCGTGTTCGGGTGGAACCTCCGCCTCATCGGGAATCTTCCTTTGGTCGCCTCTTTACGCACGTACTGTCGTTCATGTATCGCCTGATTGCAGGGGAAGATTTTGTGATGACGACTGGCAGGAAGAGCGCTCTCGTTGATTTCTTTACTCCAGGTGGCGCGAGGGCAACTTCACGCACCTGCTCGAGAGGACGGGACCGACTCTGAAGCGAGGGTCCATACACCAACCCAGAGCCCAGGACGGCCCTGGCCAGGGATGGTGGTGGTGATGGTGTGTAGATGCTGTTTGCGAGTGGTGGCGGTCGACGGAATTCCAGCGGTGCGAATCCACACAGCTACCGGGGCAAGAATAGGCCCGTGACTGTTAATGGAACTTGCGGCGCACAAAGGCAGTGCTTGAAGTCCAGAGAGGAGTCTCTCAGTGCAAGCGCTCTTCGGGGAAGCACGCTCCCGCGCAGATCATGTCGGCGACTTGTCGGAAAGCAGGTCTGGTCTCGTTCCATCGTTTACAGCCTTCTGGTGATGCTCTACTTCAGATCGTGATCAGAGGTGTTGTAAACAAACGCATTTAGGTCACATGGTATGCTAATGGTGTTTCGATCATATCGCCATGAATTCAATTGCTTCGCTCATTCCGCCGGCCCGTACTGTATGTAGTGTTCAGTAGCCTTCGGCCAGACTGGGTCGTGGACAAGAGTCCTTGCTGCGAGGGGCTTTTGGGGCTTGCTCTTGGGGGACCTCTCGGGGGCCTCGTGGCGGCATTGTGGGGCCTCTCGGGGGCCTCTCCGTGGTGTTCGAATGATGCTTCCATGAATCATAAAGCCCAGGAGCGTGGCCTTATCAGCTCTTGTTTTTCCATGGGCTGGGGGTGTCACGTCGTCCGAGCACCGCCGACTCTACCGTTCACTGGAAGTAGTGCCCCAGCGCCAGCCGGATCGAGGCACGCCGTGCCTGCGCTTCGATGCCTGCGCCACCTGCGCCCGAAGGCAGGCCGATTTTCTGTGCGCCTCGGACGGCGGGGTCGCTGCCCGAGGGTCCCCGTGAGCAGCAGCGACGCACCTCTGCCTCAGGCGGAGGGGAGGCAATCCGTGGGACTCTCACAGCGGCGACGTGAAGAATTTGCTTGATCAGCGGCGAGCCGGGTTCCAGCAGGCGGTCGAGCTAGCGGCAGGCCGCTTCCGAAGCGAACTGGGCGACGCAAGCAGCAGGTTAGCCAGCGTGGACCCCAAGCAGTAGGCTTTTGCAGTTTTTGCGGTGCAAATTGTTGTGCAGTAAACTAAAGCAAGGTAACGTACATTAGCGCAAAGTAAAGTAAAGCAAAGCAAGGCAAAGTAAAGTAAAGTAAACTACAATATATTCAAATAACGTGCATTGAATTATATTGAAATTTCGCAAATCAGAGCAAAGTAATCTATAACAAAACAAAGCAAAGCACATCAACACAACACAACGCATATCAAAGTAACGTACATCGAATTAGAGCAAAGCAATGCAAGCAACAAATCAAACCACATCGTAGCAAACCAACGCAATGCGATGCAACGCAATATAAAACAATGCAAAACAATGGCAGCAAATACAAGCAGTGCAAAGCAACACAAAGCCCTGCAAACCAATGCAAAGCCAAGCAAAACAAACCTATGCAAGGCAGTGCAAGGCAGTGCAAGGCAGTGCAAGGCAGTGCAGAGCAAAGCAAAGCAATGCAAGGCAAGGCAAGGCAGTGCAAGGCAATGCAACGGGCGGCACGGGCGGCGACGGGCGCCACCCATGGCGACGGCAACGGGCGGCAACGGACGGCACGGGCGGCGACGGGCGCCACTCATGGCGACGGCAATGGGCGGCAACGGACGGCAGCGGGCGGCGACGGGCGCCTCCCACCCCGAGATGGTTGCGAGATGTAAGGACCCTTTGGCTGCAAGCAGCTGTTGGGGGAATGTGAGCCACGAGGAGACAACAAGGTCGACTGTGCCGACATTCACGCGTAAGCTGCCCGCTCAAGGTCGCGCGCAAGCGCCCTCGCTTCCAATGTGGCGTGCCGCTCTGGCGGCCCGCGTAGGCCACCGCGTAAGGTCGCTCTGTCCACTTGCGTAAGACCCGTTTGTCCGAGTGAGGGGGCCGAGCGGTCATTTATTTCTTCTGGGTGCGTGGCTGAAGTGGGGATCCGTGGTGGGGATTCTGCTTGTTATTGTTGAATTCTCATTTTTGAAGAATAAGTATTGTTGATCCCCTCCCACCGGTGCATACTGTTTTTTCTCAATCGAAGTGTGCCCCTCGACGCTCGCACCCTGTTTTTTGACAGGGAAAGTCTTCCTGCTCAAACTGGGCCCCTGGCCCCCAGGTTACAACAACAACGGCTCCCGCCTGAGACTTCCTTACAATTTAGCCAGGACCCCCCCTCCCGCCCGAGATTTCCTCGCATTTTATTCAGGAATCGCGCTCTCGCTTGGGACTTCCTTACAATTTATTTAGGAATCGCTCTTCCGGCGCTCTGGAGTCGCGCTCTCGCTGGAGCCTTGCTTGCAACTTACTGAAGAATGGCCTTGCGTTGGAATTTTCTGCAGTTTGCGAAGCCGCCGCGCTCCCGACACCCAGGCACCCAGGAGTCGCGCCCGTTGTGGCCCCATGTGCATGCCCTTCGTGGCCCCGCTGTCGCCATTTGTGTCCCCCTCGCTGTCCTACGTGGCCCAGTTGCTACCCTGCTACCCTCAGTGGCCCCATACTTGCCGGGAAAGTCTTCCTGCTCAAACTGGGCCCCTGGCCCCCGGGTTACAACAACAACGGCTCCCGCCTGAGACTTCCTTACTTTTGCCAGGACCCCCGCTCCCGCCCGAAATTTCCTCGCATTTTATTCAAGAATTGCGCTCTCGCTTGGGATTTTCTTACAATTTATTCAGGAATCGCTCTTCCGGCGCTCTGGAGTCGCGCTCTCGCTGGAGACTTGCTGCTTGCAACTTCCTGAAGAATGGCCTTGCGTTGGAATTTTCTGCAGTTTGCCCAAGGGCAGCGCTGCCGACACCCAGGCACCCAGGAATCGCGCCCGTTGTGGTCCCATGTGCATGCCCTTCGTGGCCCCGCTGTCGCCATTTGTGTCCCCCTCACTGTCCTACGTGGCCCAGTTGCTACCCTCAGTGGCCCCATAGTTGCCTTCTGTGGCCCCGCATTATCTGCACTTCGTGGCCCCCGCTCGTTCGCGCTCTTCGTGGCCCCATACGCATGTCGCCCCCTTCGGGGCCAATTTCGTGCCCTTCGTGGCCCTGCTGTCGTTCTCTCTCTCGCTCTCGCTTTCGCCCGTCGTCGCCGTCGTCGTCGTCGTCGCCGTCGTCTTCGACGTCGTCGTCGTCGTCGTCGTCGTCGTCGTCGTCGTGGTCGGTCCCCTGTCCGTCCCTCTTGGGGTCGGGTCGACGGTCCGCGGCCGCCCCGCCGATCAGCGCTGCTGCTGGCCAGGCCGACGGTCCGCGGCCGCCCCGCCGCTTGCCGGGGCCCGGCCTGCAGGGAAGAAAGGTATACCCCCCAAAAGGGGTTCGATCGAAGACGAAGAGGGCGGGTATCGAGGGTTTGGGAAATACGTGTTATTGGACACTCGAGCATATAAGGGCGAACAGTCTTAAACTTATTGTTGTTGTTGTTGTTGTTGTTGTTGTTGTTGTTGAACATTATTTATTCTAAAGAATAATTATTGTTGGGCCCCCTGGTGCGCGCCCCCCCTGCGCCGCCTAGGCCGCAGCTACATTTTCATCATTTTCGTGAGGACGCCTCAGAAAAGAGGGTGTGTACAGGATCCGGTTGTTTTGTTGTAATCCGCTTTCCCTTGCAAAAAACAATAGAAAATGACATTTCTTGTTCTAATATAATCAAATTTCAAGAATCCCTTGCAAAAAATAAGGTAAAGTGGACATTCGCGCGCGCAAGACGAAATCCTTCCAAAACCTTAGTGTTCGCAGCGATTTTAACATAAAAACATCAAAAAAACAATGGTTTTTCAACAAAAAATTGTCAAAATCTCATCCCGCGCGCTCTTGCGGATTCGTAGGAAACCCAACACTTTTTAAACATTTCTGTCAAACGGGCTTTTGCGAGCAACTTTTTCGAACTTCTGCGACAACGGTTGCGCACCTGCCAGGGCCATCATCCCTGTCAAATAATACCATGCGGGACACATTCGTTTTTTCTTCGCGCGCGCACGCCGAAATCTCCAAAAACCATTGGGCTTCTTACGAATTTTAGCACCGCGCATCATAAAATCACACGAATCGCACCGTAGGTCCTCGAAAAACACCTGCACGACTTTTCAAAATTTCTACCCGCGCGCGCTGTCCGAATCCTAAAAAAAACCAATGGTTTTCCAACATTTATGTTACATGAGCTCGCGCGAGCTACTTTCGCACGCTCTTGCAACGGGGTTCGCGCGCCTGCCAGGGGCCACAATCCCTTGCGGTTGCGCCATAGGTTGCGCCCTCGGCCGCCTCACAACCATCGGGACAACCATCGGGACAACCATCGGAACAACCATCGGGACAACCATCGGGACAATCATCGGGACAGTCATCGGGACAACGATCGGGACAAGCACAACCATCAGGACAACCATCGGGACAATCATCGGGACAACGATCGGGACAACCACAACCATCAGGACAACCATCGGGACAACCATCGAGACAACCATCGGGACAACCATATCCTCTCTCTCTTGTGTATTCCCACATCCCTCAGGAATTTGCCCTAAAGATGTGATCAACTATCTTGTGAGTACGTATCATGTGTATCATGTGTATCATGTACCATATGCATCATATGCAACAGATGTTCTGTGGAAGGCTTAACAACTTCTGTGGGTTAACAAGGCTTAACAACTTCTGTGGGTGTACGAACGTAGGCTTAACAACTTCTGTGGGTGTGTACTCCACGCCAGTGTAGTAGCCACGGTCGTCCGCAGGCCACGAAGTGAAGTGTCCGAACGTCATAGGGCGGGAAGCTGGGTGTGGGTGGTGGCGAAGAGTCGTGTGGATATTTGGTAGAGCTTGCACTGCCCCCCCACAAAGTGGGGGTATTGGCTGGCGTCGCATGAAAACCCTGGCACTGGTGAGAACACTGAGCGTTCGGGTAAAGTGATTGTTGTTGTTGTTGTTGTTGTTGTTGTTGTTGTTGTTGTTGTTGTTGTTGTTGTTGTTGTTGTTGTTATTGTTGTTGTTGTT